AAGGAGCCCTGGTTTAGCACTGTAGCATAAGCACTGGACTGCAAAGTCAGTTTGAATTGCAACATTGGAGGTTCAAACTCACCAGCTGCTTCCTCAGAAACTCTCTATATATGTCACTATGAGTCAAAACCGAGTCAGTGACATTTAACAATATCTCAAAAAAGTATAAATTATTTGTGAGATAGTGTAGAATGCTTTTGAATTTTTTTTCCTACAGTTTCTGGAGCAGAGTTAGTTTATCAAGAACTCTTATAATATGCTTACCTGATATTTCCTGTTTTCTTTTGAAGAGATGACTTTTTCAACTTCCATTCCCTGAGTCTCTCAGGTCCAGGTGAAAACAATCCTTGGAAACTCCCAAGAGGCTCTAGAAATACCTTCTCACTGTGAACCAAATGATACTATAGCTGTTGTTTAATAAATCCCATTGCAAGATGATTTTTTGGTCAATTCCCAGGTCCCTGGAAAATCCATTTTCTCTACTGCTGCTTAGCAACTAATGGTTCAACTAGGTCATTTATATTAAAATTGACCTCTTTCATGCTCTCTGGCAGAAGCCTATGTATCATCCTGAATATTCAAAGACTCTGATTCTGGTCTAGATCTGGTAAGTGAAGGTGTTTTCAAATGTCTGTCCTTCCCATTCCCATCTCTTCACCCCTAATCCACGAACATGAGAACAATAGAATAGTTTGTACATGTTGGTGCAAATGAAGATAAAATTCACTTGAGGCTAGGGCTAAAGAGATCTTACTTTGACCTGCTTCACATAAAAGTAATATGATACATCTTTGAGGAAGACCTCTAACAAGATGGATTTTCAACACAGTGACTGTAACAATGGGCTCAAACCTCAGGATGGTCCAGGACCAGGCAGTGTTCCATTCTGTTGTACATAGTTTCTGTATGAATCAGAACCAAATTGATGGCACCTAACAACAAGAACAACAACAACCTGCTTTAGGCAATAAAGGTAAATTTTAAGTTAAGGATTATAAATGTTTCTATGTGGCATAGGCACTCAAATTTTAAAGATTAAGAGAAATTGAGTCTTTCACTAGGCTGTACAAAAGCAGACTGAAACATTTTTCTCCTTCAGAAGATTTGAACCACCAAGCTTTAGCAATCAAGTGTTCAACAGTTTTTTATAGATGCATGAATATATAGAGAGGAAAACAACCACAGAATAGAAAACTTAGAAATAGACTTAATTGCACATTGAAATTAAATGTATGGTAAAAAAAAATACCTCCAAATGACAGGAGGATAAAAGAGCTTTTTAATAAGTGGTTTTGAGATACCTGAACAACCATGTGGATAAAAGATATAACTGCAGTCATTCTTTACCTATTAACTGTAAATATACAAAATGGACCATATATTTTGATTGAATATTAGGGACATGAATTTCTATATGCTCTGAGAGAAAGGAAATAGCTCCTAATAATACCTCCAAATTCAGAAAAATTAAGGGAATATATTTAAAAATTGATTACATACACAAGTTAAAGTGGCAGAAATACAAAAACAAAATTAAAGCATACATGAAAATCTTGGGAACATTTGCAATTTATGAGCACAGACAAAATATTGATGTATTAATGTATAAATAACTACCAATAGTAGAGAATAAAAATTCAACAGCCCTGTATAAAAATGGGTAGCAATATGAATGAATAAAGAAGTGTAAATGATTATTAAGTATGTAAAAAGTGCTCAATAAGAGGATACATGATAAAACAACATTAAGATACCATTTCTCACCTATCATTTGGTAAACTTGTTTCTGATCAGTCAGTAAGTTTGAAATTCCACTGTAGATGAAACTGCAGTGAGGCAGTGCTAGTAGAAATGTGAGCTGACACAACCTCACAGAGGGACAAATAATAATATGTAATGCATATGCATTTCCTAGTCCATCCACAATCCCAGTTCTCAGAGTTTATCCCAAAGGCATAAAACAGACATATGCATAAACCTGTTAAATGCAGCACAATTTTTATTAGCAAAAATACTGGAAATAATTTAAACATCTACAAATAAAATATTGTTTTAATAAAATTTGGCTGCACTCAGTATTGTGCAGAAACATATACTGTGATAAGCTTATATAAAATAAAATCAATCCTCTTCCCTTGGATGAGTATCAGAAAAACTAATCCTTAATGTGCTTTTGCTGGATTTCAACGAGGAAACATTTATTGGTCAGCGTGTTAGCAGAGTTTCTCGGGACTTTAACAAGAGTTCTGAAACTGTTTATTGAAATCTCACTATAATGTGGCTGAAGAGCTCATGCCTCCTATATATGATACAATTGGGTGTCTGAGGCCTATTTGCTCTTTCAGTAAGGATAAGCTGTGGGAGTGGGGGTGGGAGAGGGGGGTGTCTGCACTCACACTTAAGAAATTGACAGCACAAAGTAACCGTTCACTAAATGTGAGCTATTATCTTCAGGATTTTGTAAACAAACTGATGAACAGATAGGTAGAAAGGGTTGTTTACATGATATAACCTGGTTTGATTGCCATTTGTTGTTGTGGTTATGTGCTGTGGAGTCGGTTCTGACTCATAGCGACCCTGCACAGGGTTTCCGAGGCTGTAAATCTTTACCGGAGCTGAAAGCAGACTCTTTCTCCCATGGAACAGCTGGTAGTTTCGAACTGCTGACTTTGAGGTTCGCAGCCCGATTTATAACCACTACGCTACCAGAGCTCCTTTTGATTGCCATTTAGTAGGAGGTAAAATATTATTTGTAATATCTACGATTTATGTGGTATTTCCCTATAATCTCAAATGTCCTATCTTTTGCATTGATATGCTAAATGGGAAGGTTGAAAAAAATAGGAAAGATAAGTTTTCATAAAGAAAACTATGTTTATGAGTACAATCCGACTAGATAAATGTTGTTAATCTGTTAGTAAGTTATGTATACACTGTCAAAAAATCAAATGTGATTTTTATCCTCTCCAAACTTTCCCCCACAGAACTAACCAGATTTAATGAGTCTTGATTGCACCAGAGCCATTCTGAGAAAAAGTTATATAGCTATAGTGAAATAATTTACACATTGTATCATGGAGTCCTGGTGTCATGTTGTAGAAAAAACTCTGGACCTTAAGGTTGAATTGAACAGCAAGGTTGGTGGTTCAAACACACCAGTTGCTCCTTGGAAGCTCTGTACAGGATTGCAGTGAGTCGGGACCGACTTGACGGCACTTAACAATAACAACAACATGCTATGTTTTGTTATTAATATAATATTATAGTCTCCTTCAGAAGCATATAAACTATATTGAGAACTTTTCTTTTGTTAGACCTTTTATTTCATTTGATATTTCAATTGTTAGGACTTCTTTTAAAGTGATGTATCTGACATTGAAATTTAATGTGTCTGGAGTCCTGGTGTGGTTCTGTGGAATAAAGCACTGGAAAGCAAGGTCAGTTTGAACCACAAGGTAGGTTCAAACTCACCAGTAGCTCCTTAGAAACCCTTTACAGGGTAGCTCTGTGCCAGAACCAACTTGATGGCACTTAACAACAACAACAAAAAGAAAATAACCTCTCAAATTCCAATACATCTTTAGGATTTCATGTTGACATAGCTCAGTTTAGACAGGTACCATTTCTCTTTACTGTATTTTTATGCAAATAATACATGTATTATACATTTTTGCCAATTGCGTAACTCCCTTGCACATTATTTTCCTAAGTGTGCTGTGTGGTATATATGTGAGTACACTATTTGCAAAAAATACAATAATTAATTTGGAATATTAGAATAAAATATTGATTCAATATTAGAATAAAATATTGAATCAAGAATAAAATCCCATATACTATTTATACTAATAACTAAGTGTCGTAAAATGGGAAGGCTGGGTTATTTGCTTACTTTCAAATTTTCATCTGAACACTCATAAAATTATTTGTGGAAGAGGCAGGTAGATTGTTTAGAGGTACCATATTGTTAGTTTTTCAGATTTTTGACTCTACATGGCAAATACAACAGTGTTTTAGAAATCAGTGTCAACTGAACTAAAAACCTTTTCTTTGGAACAAAAGAGTTTTAAAACTGAAGTGAAGCAATATGTAATAAAGGAACCATCTGATTATAGCCCAAGGGTAACATGGGCGTTTTTACACCCATATGTTAGATTCTATAAAAGCCCTGGAAACATTTAGTGAGTTGATATACTCACCCCACTGCCACCAATTTGATTCTGACTCGAGCAACCCTGTAAAGCAGAGTAGAACTGCCCCAAAGCTTTTCCAAAACTGTATATCTTTAAAGAAACAGCCAGCCAGCCACTTCTTTCTTCCACAGAGCAACTTCTGGATTCAAGAGTCCTGGTATGGCGCTGAGGGATAATGCACTGGACTGCAAAGTCACTTTGAATTGCAAGATTGGCAGTTCAAGCTCACCAGCTGTTCCTCAGAAACCTTATCCAGTGTAGCTATGGGTCGGAACTGACTCAAAGGTTCTTAACAACAATAGCAACAGCCTTTCAGTTAGCATCCCAGTGCTAATCCATTGTATTGCAAGGGCTCCAAAGGATATTAGTAATTGTCCTCCTGTTCTATACTGGGATCTTAGACAACACAGGGCCATACAAAAGTTGAAACAAAAACAAAATGATCATTGTCCTTTATGCTAAAGTGCTTTTGTTGTTAAGTGCCATCGAGTCACTTATGACTCATAACAACCCTGTATAGGGATTATAGGGAGCAGCTGGTGAGTTTGAAACAATGACCTTGTGGTTAACACTACAGTGCTTACCTACAATGGAGTTCTTGCTTCAAGGAATAATACTTAATCTTGATTTGCCTTCTTTGGAACAGGCATCCACCTATCAAGACAATGGATGTTTCCAATAAGTCAGCTGTGTCTGAATTTGTTTTGCTGGGACTCTCTAATTCCTGGGAGCTACAGATGTTTTTCTTCATGGTATTTTCATTGTTTTATGTGGTTACAATGGTGGGTAACAGTCTCATTGTCATCACAGTTGTAGTTGACTCTCACCTACATTCTCCTATGTATTTCTTGCTTGCCAATCTTTCAGTCATTGATATGTCTCTTGCTTCCTTTGCCACTCCCAAGATGATTACCGACTACCTCACTGGACACAAAACCATCTCTTTTGATGGTTGCATAACCCAGATATTTTTCCTACATCTTTTTACTGGAACTGAGATTATTTTACTCATGGCTATGTCCTTTGACAGGTATATTGCAATATGTAAACCCCTCCGCTATGCCTCAATCATAAGCCCCCAGGTATGTGTGGCTCTTGTGGTGGCTTCCTGGGTTGTGGGAGTCATGCATTCAATGAGCCAGGTCATATTTGCCCTCACATTACCATTCTGTGGTCCCAATAAGGTAGACAGCTTTTTCTGTGATCTTCCTGTGGTGTTCCAATTGGCTTGTATAGATACTAATGTTCTAGGTCTCTTTATGATCTCAACAAGTGGCATAATTGCCTTGTCTTGCTTTATTCTGTTATTTAATTCATATGTTATTGTCTTGATTACTATCAAGCAACATTCTTCTAGAGGATCATCTAAGGCCCTTTCCACCTGCACAGCTCATTTCATTGTTGTCTTCATGTTCTTTGGACCATGCATCTTCATCTACATGTGGCCCCTAAGTAACTTTCTGATAGACAAGATCTTGTCAGTGTTTTATACAATCTTTACTCCTGTTCTGAACCCAATAATATATACCTTGAGGAATCAGGATGTTAAGATAGCCATAAAGAAACTGAAGAACAGATTTCTAAATTCCAACAAGGCAACTCCTCAACATTATTTTTAACTTCTAGATCTAGTAAACTTCTTTTTTTTTTTTTTTTTTTTTAACTTCTTATGCATTGAGTGCCATAGATTTTACATATATAGCATTGGTCCCAGTCCTATGGTAGGCTCTTGCTTGTAGAGCTAACATCAAATTGTAGTTGTCAAGTGTATGTGAGGGCAAAAGGAAAGTGCATTTTGAAGTACTCTCACTTATTCAGTCCAAAAAACATTTAAAATTTTAGAAGAGTGAGTTGAGAGTAACAGTTTCATGCAGATGCAAATTCTAGCTATGAAAAATGGCAGAAGTCATTGTTTCATTAGGAGATTCAATATTAATAATGGTGTAGTGATGTAGGATAAGCACTGGATTGCAAGTTGCGCTAAACCCAAGATCAGCAATTCAAACCCATCAGCTGCTCTCAGAAACCATAGGGTTGCAATGAGTCAGAACCAATTGGAAGGCACTTAACAATAGTAACAACTGGAAAAGAGGAACAAAGAATGAGAAGAGGAAGGGTAAGTAACTAGAGAAATAGGATACCATGACATTTACTCACAGCTAGCTACTGAGTTAATTCAGAGGTGTCTCTAAAGTATGAACAATTAGCAAAATTTCTATAAGCCTCAGGGATTCAATATTGCTGCAGGAGCTCAGTCTCTGGCAAATAGACAATGACTTTTCTATATACATCTCTCAGCCATTATTAAATAACATTTAACCTAATTGTGATTTATTCTATTAAAGGAAAACAAGAATTGTGTTCCATTACAAATGTTGATGAGGTCCAAAGAATGCTTTAATGGAAGAGTCTCCACCGCTAATTCTTAGCTAATAAATGGAGCAATAAAACAATCCTTTTGGTAATGCAGAATCAGTACAGAGGCTGGTGGACTCTACAAATCAGAAAATAGTATGAAATAAATTGCAAAGCAGTACACTTTATTTAATACTGTATTAGCTTAATGCCTGCGGAGTTAGAACCAAATTAAATTTAAAAATATAGCTTATGTTAGTAAGTGACCTTATGGAGAACCTATGTTTCTTTTTCAAATGTTATATTGCTTTACGTTTTGGTTAGACTATTTTTTCACTTTAAATATTTAGAGGTAAAACAAAGAAATTTGTTCTTACTGATGCACTTTCAGTGTACTAATCATGCTTGTGAATATACATACGATTTAAAAAGTTAAATAGGTGATAAAAAGACAGCTAGATCCAATATTTGCTTTATGGCACACAAGCTGTCACTCTTGTCTGTTGTAATTGGAATTACAAGCCTTAAAAGTCATGAGGAATACTTTTGGGTGCCATGTTTGGCAAATCCTTTCTTAAAAATGACACATGTTAAATAATTCATTGTTACTTGACATTAACTAAGTGATATTTATAAAATAAAATGCCTAGTATATGATGCAGAGTCCTGGTATGGAGCTATAGGATAAGTACTAGACTGCTAACCACAAGGTAGGTTGTTCAAACCCACCAGCTGCTCCATGTAAACCCTATACATGCTTGCTATGAGTCAGAACTGATGAATGGCACTAACAGCAAAAACAACAGTATATGATGCATCTTGCAATCATAGTGTTTGATAAATATTGTTATTATTTTCTAGCACTGTTGAATAAGTGGAAACCATGATTGTATATATAGTGCTAATTATTATTGATGAGGGAAAAGTTAAGCAAAGGGCATTCTTAACCTACCATTTTAAGCCAAATGATAAGAAGAATGTATTTATTTTTCTACATCAGTATGAGTTTATGCTTCTTTTGTTTTCCTTTGTTAATGTATTCAACAAATAAGGGAGCTGTTTTTCAGCTTACAGGTATGTGGTATTGTCTTGAAATTTAGGCAGGGATAAAGCTGTCATAATGAAAAAGTCAACAGTATTATCAAGAGAATGAAGTGTGTTCATGTTATAAAAAAAAAAGCACAGTTCTATTTTAAATAATGGGGGCGAGGAGTCCTAGTGTGGTGCTGTGGGTTAATACGTCAGACTGCAAAGCTGTTTGAACTGCAAGGTCGGCGGTTCAAGCTCACTAGCTGCTCCTCAGAAACCTTATACAGGGTCGCTATGGGTTGGAACCAACTAGATGGTGCTTAACAACAACAACAACATTTTGAATAAGGATAAAATGAGCCAGTTTCGTTTGGATGTGCAAACTCCGTCTCTCTGTTTCAGTACATTGTAAATATAGTCAGGATCAAGAACTTCATTTATTTAAAAGACATTTTATTGGTATTTTAGAAATGCCCACAGTAACTGTTACAAATAAAATATTTGAAAATATGTTTAAGAACTCATCTGTGTTTTTGTTTTGGTTTGTTTGCAATATAAAACATAGAATTTTTTGAAAGGGAGGTCATCTCTCTTCAGTATTTTAGTGATGAAATCTGAAACTCAAAAGCATTAGGACAAAAAAACACCCAAAAACCTCAAACTTATAACTGGGCAGCAGACAACTGTACTTGTATAAGGCAAGTCAATAATATGAGTACCTGGACTGATAGCAACACTCTATAGCTGAGACTAAACAAAGACAATGGACAGCCTCTGGAAGACTTCTAGATAGTAACTTCCTCTGTTGACTCACAGGAGGAGTCAATAATCAAGTTGTCTCTCCATATTATATAAGCACTTAACTCTTAATTGGGAGTTATTGGTAAATGTCATCATTATACTTCTTCAGTATGTTGCTGACATATTCTTACTGAGAGCAAATATAGAGCAGTTGTCATTGGCTCAATAATCAGTAGTAAGAATGGTGCCATGTGTCGCCATAGCCTCCAAAGGAAGACACATGTTGGACAAACAGAATCCAGTTAACATAGATAATAATATCAAGTTAAGGATAGCTTTTGATCGTCAGCACTATTTCCAATGACAAAATTTCAGGAGTGCTGAGATATGAAAGAATTATAAGAGTATGTTTACAAGTACCTTTATCATCTTTTAAGTGTTTGGTGAACCATAAAGTTTGATAATACCAAACATGAGCTTTTTGAAAACCTGGGAAAAGTATGGAAACTGAACATTCTTGCAAAATTAAGCAGAATAATTGAGTTTTGTGGTGGTGGTGGTTAAGTCAAACAGCTGGTGGGTTTGAACTACTGAACTTGTGGTTTGCAGTGCAGTGCTGATCATACAGCACCACACCAGGGTAAAAAATAACAATTATTATTATATAAGGTCTAGATGAAAATAGAAAATTGTGAATTACAGTATGTGAAGGGTTTAAATATACGGAATTGCAATAAAAACTTTAAATAATGCATGCTTCCAAAAACATTTGAGGACAATTTCAAAATACTATACAGTGTTATGATGATGAATTTACCATGAAGCTAGTGAAACCTGTATTTCAGATTACCTCCTTTGCATATGTTCTCTAAGTTCCTCAATTAAATCTAAACTTTTTTTTTTTATTATTCTTAATTTTGGTTTTCTTTTTCCTTATCAAGACTTCCTCAGATTATAGAAGTTTAAGACTCTACAGGTTCTAGAACCATCCCTGGGTTTAAGATAAAAGTCATATAATACATTATTTTTTTGCCTGTGCTAAATGCCAGTTCTAATGTTTCTAAGAGGTGTTACCTTGGGAAAGACACTGCTATTAGCCTATGCTTCTGCTTTTGTTAAAGAGACAACAATGGTATCTAAACCATAGATTAAGGAACCCTGATGGCATAGTGTGTTATGCTTTGGACTGCTAACAGCAAAGCCAGCAGTTTGAACTCCTAAACTACTCCATGGGAGAACAATGAGATTTTCTGCTTATGTAAAGATTTACAGTCAGTTATTCAGTAGTGCTAGTGGCTTCCTCCTTCCTTTCTCTGACTCAGCATTCAGTCCTCGTGCTGAATTGCAATGGATCGCCTTTTGGAAAACCAAGTAGGAGTTATAAATGGTCATCACTTCATGAACATTCACCAGTGGGGAGAAATGGTTGAAGTCGATTGTCCTGGAAAGTGCTTTATTAGTGGGCTCAATATAGAAACAAATGAGAAATTCCTGGAAGCAGTATTTGGCAAACATGGATGAATTGCTGAAGTGCTCTTGATGAAAGACCATGAAACCAACAAATCAAGAGGATTTGCTTGTGTTACCTTTGAAAGCCCAGCAGATGCCAAAGATGCAGCCACAGATATAAATGGAAAGTCTTTTTATGATTAAGCTATCAAGGTGGAACAAGCCACTAAACCAACATTTGAAAGTGACAGGCATGGACTCTCACCACCTTCACAAAGCCGAGGCCCACCAAGAGGCCTTAGAGGTGGAAAAGGAAGTAGTGGAGGAACCGTGATATCCCCTTCATAAGGGAGACACATGGATGCTGGTGGCTAGTCCATGAATTTTAACATGAATTCTTCCAGGGGACCACTTGTAGTAAAAAGAGTGGTGGTCAGCCTCCTAAAAGATCAACCTCTTTAAGACCTGTATCATATGAAAGAGATAGTTATGGAGGACCACCAAGAAGAGAATCCCTGTACTCTTGTAGAGATGGGTATCTGTCACCAAGAGATGATGGATATTCCACTAAAGACAATTATTCAAGCAGAGATTAATCAGATTCTCATGTTACAAGAGATTATGCACCACCACCAAGAGATTATACATATCATAATTATGGTCTTTTCCAGTTCACTATCCATCCATAGACTATGGTGATAGAGATGGCTATGGTTGTGATGGTGACTATTCAGACCTACCAAGTGGAGGCTCCTACAGAGATTCCTATGAGTGCTATGGTAACTCATGTAGTTTTCTACCTGTTTGAGGGCCCCCACTGTCTATGCTAGAAACAGTCATTATGATGATTACAGCAAGTCACGTGACGGACATGGTAGAAATTGAGACAGTTATTCAAGCAGTGGAAGTGATCTCTGTTCAAGTGGCTGTGATGGGTTGGCAGATAAGAAAGTGGGTTTCACCCTTCTATAGAAAGGGGATACCCTCCTCCACGTGATTTCTACAGCACTTCAAGTTGTGGAGCACCAAGATGTGGTGGCCGTGG